AACAAGGTTTCGATCTATATAAGAATGTTTTTTCGCAAAATATTCATTGTATCTCTTAAAGTATTCAAAAAAATATAACAATCATAATACAGCGCGGAAATGATGCCAGCGTTAAAGGTACACTGCCACAGGGACCAAACTTTTTAAATGTGTTTTAATTTTCTTTTTATTAATTTTTAATTATTTTATTAGTACTTTGTAGGTTTAGAAAATTGTAAATACTGTATATTTGATCGTTATATTTTAATTAATTGTAAAATTTATATCGTTTAACACTGCAACATACTGCTTCAATAAAAAAAAATTATTTTGGAATTTCGCATATTATCTGCGGTACCTCTATGTACTTTGGTCATATATTTATTATCAGTATCCAATGTATGTATAAATTCAGTTTATAAGGCTAATAATTATTAGATAACTTGGTTTTAGAATGACCGAATTGGTGCCTCATTATATCTCATCAAAATCGCATGTTCAATAGTCAATACTTACTCTACAGTACTGACTCTCTCGTTCAAGTTGTTCAATGTACTCTTCTTGCTTCTGGATGAAGTTGACTACATCTGGATTTGTTCCACCTGACAAGTCATTTGTTGGGGTCGGAACTATAATTTAAAAATACACTCAGCGATTAAATAAAAACAATTGTACTTAGAATAAAAAAGTGCCCATCACCGCATGTACACCTTTAGCTGTGTATGTTTTGCCGGCCATAGGCCACTATCGAAGCCTTCAAGTTCCTATTAATTCTTTTTTCCTATTAAATAAGCACTTATTTGTTTATTTTGGTGCCTGCTTAGTTAAATTTAAATTTAAATAGGTGCCTATTAGCCTATGCCCTATACTAAAGACGTTATATGATTTTTGTATTCTACGACGGCGCTTAAACGTTATGGCTTCCTAATAAAAAAATTGAATAATCTTACCATTATTAGTCTGCTGAGGTGTATAAGTATTTATCTGTGGAGGCGTATAATTATTCAAGCTATCAGCGTACAGAGTGGTGTATTTTGCCGTAAGACGTGGTCGTGGTTTGTACTCTGTGATGGCATTGAAGGGATACTTTTTGTCCAAATCTCCTTCGATGTCATCGTTCTTGAGAGAGGAGCCGGTGTAACTACGAAGCTAGAGACAAATACAGAAATAATGATATATTCGAATTATTCTCGATAAATTAAATATTTTTTTATAGCATGTAAATTATTTTTGTGTGGAATTAAATCAATGTGTGATTTCATGGAGTAGATAACATAACTCTCGAAACACGAACATTTTAATAAATTAGTAAAAATAATGAGTTTTTAGAAGCAATGTATGCAAAGAATGACCGCAGGGTGTTAGTTATTATTGATAAAAGTTAACTTTACAATTACATTTTTTTAAAGTTAGTAGTAATAACAGTAATAAGTACTAGTCAGTTTATATTAAAAATATCACATATTTTAGACTATATACAGGACTTAGACTATATAAAACATAAAATAGGTTCAAAATCAAAACAAAAAAACTTACGCTTGGCGCGTTGTTTCCACCGAGAAAATACTTCAACTTCGATACAGCCTCTTTGTAAGCTAACTCAGTGTAATCCGGAATCCTCTTCAGGCCATAATCATTCATTCTAACCGGCCGCCTATACGATAAATACGTATTATACATTACTGATTTGTATAAATTACATTTTTATAAGTAATAAAAAATAAATATAAACATAATATACGTGCAACGCATTGCATTTTTATAAGGGCTCTGATAGCGCGTATTGATTTTACCGTCGCGATGGTAATATTATTGTACACACGCCCTTAGTTACGGCAAATATGAGTAATGGGAATATCGTGGCGTGGTGGTTAACTCTTTTAAGATCCTAGGTTTGATACAAGGTGAAAATATGTATTTATTTTTATTTAACTATTTGTTGCATAAAAAAATATTTGGAACGCAAAGGACCTCATATTTTCTTTTAGCGTATGACAAAAAATAAAATAAGTATTGTTAAGGGTAACATAGGCTTAAAAATAATAAATGAAACACGTAAAAATGTTGTTACTCAAACAACACTTCAAAGAAAATTAATAACTATATTATGTTTTAATATCGGATCGCTTGAAAGGTTGTTTTAAGAATAATTAAATCGTTCACATTTCTTATAATAATATAATATGATAATTAAAGTAAAGAAGTATCCAAAACCTGGAGTTACAAATATCAAGCATAGTGAAATAATCTCTTGAACTAAAGGGAATTTAAACTTTCTTTAAAATTACTCTAACTCTTTGAAATTACTTCTAAGTAAAATTAATAAGAATAAGATAATAAGTTTTTTGATTGAAATATTACTGTTTTTCCGACACGGCGCGTTTCAGTCAAAATCAAGTAAAACTTACCTTATTTTGCTTTTCTTCAATTTCCCGTTCATATCCTTGTCGGAGCCGAAACTCGAAGTTTTCGCGCGAAACCCGTTCAATTTATTCTTATTCACGAAATTAGTTGAGCCCATTCCTTACACTTCCCAAAAATAACCTTCGTCCAGCCAGCAGTAATTTTAATTAGGAAATACTTTTTTATTTTTGGAAAAATAAACATCAAGTAGGTTTAAAGCAAAGAGTTTCTCTATTTAAAAAATAAGTAAAATCTTTTTTAAATAATACTATCAAAAATTATAAAAGATGGAACTTTGATGGCGGTTAAGGCGGGAATGACGGAAATAAGGTTTCCCGTTGCGGTTCAATCGGGAATTCACTGCATTGCTTTCATTTTACAGGGAAATCTTTCGTTATGATAAAATAGATTAGGAGTTGCTGTATAATTTTCCTTACTATTTTCCAATTAATGTGTTTGTCTTTTAGCCAAAGAAGAAACTCTTTATTTTTTTATTTTGAGCACAGAATACGATCGGCAAAAGATTTGACAGTGAAATGATTAATAAGTTAATAAGTCGAAGCATTAAACAAACGAAATCATTTGGAGCTATATAACTATTACGTAGCATGCAAGAAAGCAATAGAAAGATGCGTAGGTACTAAAAATAAGAAGTAGGTATACATAAATTAAACAGCGGAAAATAAGACTAAAAACGTTATGCCTTTAAACAGAAGTGGCAATGGCCACTTCCACTTTCATAATATAGCAAGAAGCATAGAAAAAAGTGCACATGAAATACAATATGAAAAGGACCTAGGAAAAGAAAGAGAAAGAAAGCTATGATTAGAGAAATTTGGAAAAGCTGGAGGAGGCTTTTACCCGTGAAGGGGTTCCGATCAATGGTACACAACAAATCTAAATTGTATATTGTCAACATTTTTAAAGATTGAGATTTATTATTAACAATTTTGATCAGTTATTAATAGCATAAAATATATAAACTTATCTTTGTTGGTTTTAAGTATAGCTCATAAGAATTAACTTACCTGGGTCAGAAAGTGCTCTAAGTATAAAGAAATAAGTAGAAAGACATACATAAAACTAATAAACATTCTAGAAGAAATGGTAACATTTCTTTAAACTGACTCTAACACTAAGCGCCTGGCAGTAACTCGCGTGTCGAAGATGGGTACATCATGGTTTTTGGAGGGAAAGATGGAAAATACGTTACCGATCACGCGATGACACGATGAATTATAGTTATACGTTTTTTATTATAGCATCAATATCTGCTTCACCCAAAACGCTAAAGAAATATGAAAATGCAAACCGCTCCCAAGATGGAAACGGAATGAAAAGGTGCTTTGATTTTTCGGAGAAGAAATTGTTTTGTAGGATAAGAAACCACAATTTAGTTTTTAGTTATTTAGTTAAATTTAACAAGAGGTAGAAGGTAATTAAATAATTGATTAGGTCATCTATAGACCATTTTTGTGTTTAAGAATATGCCTCATTCTAAGTCCGTGAATGGGGCGGGGCTGTTTGAGAGATGTGTCAAATGATTCGGATGCCCCCCCCCCCCCACGAGAGGGGCGCCCCCCCGGGAAAAGGGGGGGGGGGCGACGCACGGCCCCCCCCCCCCCCCACCCCCCCCCCCCCCCCCCCACCCCCCCCCCCCCCCCCCCCTTTTTCTCCCCGCGTTTTTTTTTTACGTAGAGGGGGGGGGGGGGGGGGGGGAGGCCGGCCGGCCCGGGGGCCGGGGGGGGCCCGCGGGGGGGGGGGGGGGGGGGGGGGGGGGGGGGGTGGGGGGGGGGACCCCCCGCCCCCCCCCCCAAACCCGGGAAAACCCCCCCCGTTTTTTTTTGGAACCCCAGTCCAAAAAAATAATTTTAAAAAAAAAAAGGGGAAAAAAAAATGGTTTTTCCCCGCGGGGGGGGCGGGGGGGGGGGGGGGGGGGGGGGAAAAGGGTAGGAAAGGGGGAAGGGGGAAGGGGGGGGGGAGGGGGGGGGGGGGGGGGGGGGGGGATCCCCACCCCCCCCCCCCCCCCCCCGCGCCCCGCCCGCCGGCGGGGGGGGGGGGGGGGGGGGGGGGGGGGAAAAGAAAAAAAAAAGGAAAAAAAGGGGGGGGGGAAAGGGGGGGGGGGGGGGGGGGGGGGGGGGGGGGGAGGGGGGGGGGGGGGGGGGGGGGGGGGGGGGGGGGGGGCGCCCCCCCCCCTCCCGCGGCCGTGCGCCGGCCGGAGTTGAGATGGAGGAAAAAGCGCGGCGGCGCTCCCCGGTCTCGGCGGGGGTTTGAAGTTTGGGGAAGGGTTTAGAAAAAATTTTTGGGCCCCCCTATAAGGGGGGGGTTTGTTAAAGGGATGGGGAAAAGGGGGGGTTAAAAAAGGGGGGGAAAAAAAAAAACAAAAAAAAAAATAGAAGAAATTAATTTTCCCAGGTTTTGGGGGGGGGGGGGGGGGGGGGGGGGGGGGGGTTTTTAAGGGGGGGAAGGGGAGGAAAAAGAAGATTTTTTTTAATTAAAGTGAAAATTGAGGATTTTGTGGAAGTTGGGGAGAGAGGGGGGGGGGGGGGGGGGGGGGGGGGGGGGGGGCGGGCGGCCAGCCACAGGGGGGGGGGAGGGTGGGGGGGGGTTGTCGCTTCCTTTGCGCTCGGTTGGGTCCCCTGGGGAGGGGGGGGGGGGGGGGGGGGTTTTGGCTGCGGGGCGCGCCCGGGGGCCGGGCGGGCCCTGTTCGGATGTGCAACTTTATATTCTCAAATGATTTATTTCAAGTCGTTTATAAACTTAAAAGAGATTTCGAAACAACAACACTTTTAAGTTTTGAAGACTGTCGATAAGTCAAAGAATTATTTGTTTATAAACTTTCTTATCGTTAAGCTGAAATTTAGGATAGTACATTATTGTAACATCACGCGATGCGCTGATACCGACTCGTACCGTCATAAACACAACAACCTATTTGACCTTTTTGTAGTATTAGTAGACCTATTTATGAAAGCTTTTTTAAAAGTTCTCTCTATATTCTGTAAAATCTTAAATAAAAGGATTATTTATATGTTTCTGTATCACTAAAAAAAAAAAGATCACTGAAAAGGTTTCTTTCCTATATAAAAATAGAAAAAAAAACCTTTTTTTTGTTTCATCTTATATTTTTGATAACGTAATGATTTCTTGGAGCAAGTAGGTACTTTTCTGAAGTGATCATCACCTTTAGTGCCTTGGCGCCAACCCGAAGCAATAATTGTTTTTATCGATAACGCTTATTTGTGTTTTACTGCCACATATCACACATACTTACATTAATGTTTTAATCCAAAGATTAAATGCACTAGATTAGCTGAATAGAAGATAAGGCCGTCAATTCTCTATCATGTTCTTTATGACTTAAATGAGCCCCCGTACTAACTATATGTGACGCGATAAACTACCAAACAATATTGTGATTCCTGGAGAAGATTTAGGTGTACAATTTACATTATTTGTCGACATCACAGGAGACCGAAGAGCTGGCATCTACATCGGACAAAGATATAGTCTAGCTATTCAAAGGCGGAACGCTGCCAGTATCTTCGGAACCTTGCCTAAACGGACTCCTTTTAATTATATATTTTAAGGTTAGTTATTGTTTTTTCTGTTATTTATTCATTTGTAATGTATTAATAAAGTTATATTTACATTAGTAATTCACTAAAATAAAATTATACTGTTGAGGAGACCGCAATTTTGCCAAAACATACTAACGAGGAAGCTACTAAAGTATAATAAGTAAGTGAAATAAAATATGTAAATAATTAAAAATTCATTTATTTCAGAATATACCAAAAGTTCGGCATTGGTTAGTACACATTACAAAATACCTAAGACTCTACGCGCTTTAACGCTCACAACTGCATTGTACATATTCGAATAGGTATAAAAATATTGCTTTGTAAATGAAATAATTTTTTTAAAACTTTTTTTTTACCTCCTGCCCGTTTGCCTCCTCCTCCTTACATTAAAAAAAATCGTGAAGGAAAAAAATGTTGCCACTCAATAAATTCTGAATTCATTTTCAGGAAAGTTGATTCATAATATTATTAACTTAAAGGAAAGTAAACGTATTTAAATGTTTAATTAAAAACGGAAATAAGAAATTACTTCATTCACAAACCATGGTATAAAACTACAATGTTTTTGCACTTTTTAAGGCTTGATTATATAATCGATACAATAAGGCATATTATGTGTGATTAAATACCAATTTAAACGTGGATTATTATATTCTCGTAAAGATACATATTAAAAATGTTGTATTCGTAAAAACCGTTTAAAAATTCTAGTTTACGCACATATGCACAGAATAAAATAGTTGCAAACATTTTTTTTCAATATTTTCAAATCTGTAATGAACGTTGGGAAAAGTTGTTTTTATATAATAGGGGGGCAAACGAGGCCCAAAAATAGCATTCATCGCAGCCCATTAATACCCAGCCGGCCTTTGAGGGAGGAGTAGGTACACTCTAACTTTGAATAGTTGGAGGCCGTATCTCTCAGGGAAGACCCCCACCGGAAGTCGATTCCACAGTTCGCTAGTTCGCAAAAGAGAGTGCCTTGTGAAACGAACTGTGGAAGACTTCCAGCCATCAAGGTGATGTTAATGAAACTGATACGGCTCCTCCTCCTCTCAACACCGTACGGTGTTGAGACGGAGGACGCAGGAGGAATCAACCCAAACAATTCTTCTACAAAGTATACTCACCATGATACACTTTGTAGAAAACGCAAAGAGACGCAATGTCTCTGCGTAGAGAGATACATTGGAGATTGACATTCGACACTTTGCATCTATATGCGAGCCTTTTGCCCATCGATAAATTTGTCAAACGTATAAATAATTGTTGATTTTGCTAAGTCGATTTTACGAGAATATAACATCCATAGATTAATTTTATTACCAAGTTTTATAAGTAGAGTACATTTTGAGATTTCGATTACACTAGGTTAGTTGTGTTGAACTTATTCTAACAGTCTCCATGTGTTAAGTATTCTTGGAATAGATTAAGATTATAATGTAATAATAATATTGTAATGATTTAGAATTGACAAATAATTTTGATTATGATTTATTAACTGAAAGCCTAATTACGAATATCAGTATTAATT